AAAATAATAAATGGGAAAATAATAAATGAAAAATAATAAATGGAAAAATAATAAATGGAAAAATAATGAAAAAGTAATAAGTGGAAAATAATAAAAAATGGAAACATAATAAATGGAAACATAAAAAATGGAAAAATAATAAATGAAAAATAATAAATGGGAAAATAATAAATGGAAAAATAATAAAAGGAAAAATAATAAATGAAAAAATAATAAATGAAAGATAATAAATGGAAAAATAATAAATGAAAAATAATAAATGGAAAAACAATAAATGGAAAAAATATGAAAAAATAAATGGAAAATAATAAATGTGAAATAATAAATGGAAAAATAATAAATGAAAAATAATAAATGGAAAGATATTAAATGGAAAATAATAAATGGAAAAATAAATAAAGTAATGGAAAAATAATAAAAAAATGGAATATAATAAATGGAAAAACAATAAATGGAAAACAATAAATGGAAAAAAATATGAAAAAATAATAAATGGAAAATAATAAAAAAAGGAAAAGTAATAAATGGAAAAGTAATAAATGGAAAAATAATAAATTGGAAATAATAAATGGAAAAATAATAAATGGGAAAATGAATGGAGAAATAATAAATGGAAAAATAATAAATGGAAAAGTAATAAGTGGAAAATAATAAAAAATGGAAACATAAAAAATGGAAAATAATAAATGGAAAAATAATAAATGGAAAGAAATGGAAAAATAATAAATTGAAAAATAATAAAAGGAAAAATAATAAATGAAAAAATAGTAAATGAAAGATAATAAATGGAAAATAATAAATGGAAAGATGATAAATGGAAAAATAATAAATAAAAAAAATGTAAAATAATTAAAGGTATTAAATGGAAAATAATAAATTAAAAATAATAAATGGAAAAATAATACATGGAAAAATAATAAAAAATGGGAAAATAATACATGGAAAATAATAAATAGAAAATAAATGGAAAACAATAAATGGAAAAAAATATGAAAAAATAATAAATGGAAAAATAATAAATGGGAAATAATAAAAGGAAAAATAATAAATGAGAAATAATAAATGGAAAAATAATAAATGAAAAATAATAAATGGAAATATAATGGAAAAAAAAATGGAAAAATAATAAATAAAAAATAATTAATGGAGAATAATGAGAATTCCAATGGAAATTGATCCCAAAATTCCCATTTTTTTATTTCCCAGTGCACCAACGGTCACTGATGTGCGCCGGGTGCTTCATCCACCTGGGATGGGAATGAATGGGAATAATGGGAATAAAAAATGGAAAAAATAATAATAAAAATATAAATAATAAATAAATAATAAACAGTAAATAATAATAAATAATGAGTAATAATAATAATAAAAATAATGATCAAAATAAGAATAATGAGGATTCCAAGTGTGATCAAATTCCCAAAATTGAAGCGCCGGCTGCTTCATCCACTGCTGGGAAATGGGAATGGATGGGAAAATGGGGATAAAAAGAGTAAAAAAAAATTAAAAAATAATAATGATGAATTATAATAATAATAATAATTAGTAAAAATAGATAATAGTAATAAAAATGAGAATAATGAGAATTCTGAGTGTGATCAAATTCCTGAAATTGAAGCGCCGGGTGCTGCATCCACTGCTGGGAAATGGGAAAATGGGAATAAAAATGGGAAAAAGAATAGTAACAATAACAAAAAAAAAATAGATAATAATAATAATAAAAATGAGAATAACGAGAATTCCAATGGAAATTGATCCCAAAAATTTGGGTTTTTTTTCCCCAGTGCACCTGATGTGTGCCGGGTGCTTCATCCACTGCTGGGAAATTGGAAAATGGCAATAAAAATGGGAAAAATGATAAAAAATGAGAATAAAACCCGAAAAATTCCCATTTTTTTTATTTCCCAGTGCACCAACGGTCACTGATGTGCGCCGGGTGCTTCATCCACTACTGGGAAATGGGAATGGATGGGAAAATGGGAATAAAAAGAGTAAAAAAAAATTTAAATAATAATAATAATAGTAAATAGTGATAATAAAAATGGGAATAATGAGAATTCTGAGTGGGATCTAATTCCCGAAATTGAAGCGCCGGGTGCTTCATCCACTGCTGGGAAATGGGAATGGATGAGAAAATGGGAATAAAAATATACATAATAAATAAATAATAAATAAATAATAAATAAATAATAAATAAATAATAGTTAATAATAGTTGTAATAATAATAATAATAATTATATTGAGAATAATGGGAATTCTGAGTG